CCCCCCCCTTCATCACGATCACCCATCGTCGTGGATGGACCCTTCACATGCTCTGGGTCATCGATTGGCCAACATGAAGACCGTAAGCTCGCATTCCATGTAGATCCATCCTGAGCCGCCGGACCACCAACGATACTTTGCCAGTCGAAACCCTATTCAAGGGTCGCATAGCAACCAGAAACTCTTCTCTCCACCCTGAAGAGATAACTCGGAAAAAAAAAAAATTCAACAGACAAGTCTAAACTGCAACTGGCGATTATAGCGACCAGCTTTGACCAGACAACATGTGATCGCTCTCTAGCCTTGAGCTTTCGGAGACGGAACGTAACTCGGGTGTTAAAACTAGTATTTCTCACGTCGCTGCGCAACCAGGTTGGACTGAGTAAGCAAATCAATGTCATTGCTAAACTGCGAAGTTGCCAATTGCGTGCTGTATGCTTTAATGCTAAAATTCTACCAATTGCGGAAAAGCAAAACAAGCTTTGTATGAGTCTAACAAAATAACAATCACCGCACCCTACTCTGCCCCGTCTATGCGTATCCGTCCCCGCGCGCTCATTAAAAATCCAGATCGAGTGGCCTGGAATGTAAAAGAAATCTATGCTATGACGTTAATTGTACGAGAGAGTCTCGTCGGGGAGTGGTTGCTTCTCCCCCTTTTTTTTTGACAGAACAGGATGTTCCAATCAAACGGAAATCAAGGCTAAAAGAACAACGACGGTTCCGAGTAACCATCCTATGGCGGGGTCATCTGTTCTTCCATCATCTTGCGCACCTCCTTCTCGAGATTCTCCGAGGCGGCCTCCTGGTCGACCTCCTCGACGGCCCCCGTGACCTTGTTGGCGAGCTCAATCTTCTTCTGGCAGGCCTTGAGGACGAGCTCCTCGATCGTGTGCCGCGCTATGAGGCGGATGATCTCGACGTCCCGCTTCTGCCCGAGGCGGTGGGCGCGGTTCTCGGCCTGGATGTCGTCCTGGGGGTTGTCGGACTGGTCAAAGATGATGACCTTGTTGGCCGACGTGAGGTTGATGCCGGTGCCTCCCGCGCCGGTCGTCAGGAGGAAGACGGGGATGGTCTCGTCCTGGTTGAATTCGTCGATCATGGTCTGTCGCTCTGAGACGTTGGTGTTGCCCATGAGGACGCGATGGTCGATGTCCTTGGTAGATAGAACTTCGCGGAGAATCTCAATGACCCGGGAGAATTTGCTGAAGACCAGGACTCGGTCCCCGTTCTTTTGGTACTGATCAATGAGCTCGAGGAGTTTCTGGACTTTGCCGCTCTCGAGTTCCGCTTCCGGCGGGTAATCGAACTTTTTGAGCAGGCGGGGATAGTCACGACACCAGAGGTGCAGCTCAAAATCAGAGGAGTTCTTAAGTTCCTGAATGAGGTGTTTGAGATCTGGCTGGTGCAGCTCCTCCTGTGATAGTCTATCCATCAAGATGCTCCCCATCTCTTCCACCGACTTGTCCGTGAAGTGTCGACGGAATAGAAGAGGGTGGATTGCTGCTTTCCGAAGCTGCATCCAGATATTGTTCTGGTCGTTCTGTCGACCCTTGGATTTCACCGCCCGCTGCGAGGGTTCCATTCTGAACGTTTCTTCGTACTCATCGTAAATTGGTTTTTGACCTTTGGGCATATCGCAATGAACAACCGTACAGGTCTTCTGAGGCATGTCGGATAAGACCTGATCCTTCCGCCGTTGCAGAATGAACGGCTCGAGGATTGTGCGAGCACGCTTGACGCGCTCACTGTAGAGGAAAGCACCGTTGGACACGTCTCGGACGCTGACCTTGGTGCTGAAGATGTACCGGATTGATTCCATGTGACCTTCGAAAATCTCAGGATTGATGAAGCTTAGAAGAGAAGTCATCTCCAGAAGATTGTTTTGGACAGGCGTGCCTTTGAGATGAGTTAGTAAATACGAATGAATGTGAGATATAACTGTAGTTGTGACTGACCTGTCAGAAGCATCTTCCACTTGGACGGAATCCGACGCAAATCCTTGTAAATCTTCGTCTCCGGGTTCTTCATCTTGTGTCCTTCGTCAAATATGGCTGCGTGAAGATCACAGTCTCGCATGGCTTCGATATCGGTTGATGAGTTGATTTGCGAGTATGTTGCGAGAACGACGTGATAGGCTTCCGGGTCCTGTTCCACCTCATATGCAATCTCAGCACGCTCAGATTGCGATCCCCTGTATCCGGCAACGCTGAGGGACGGAGCGAACTTCTTGAACTCAGCCAGCCAGTTATTGTATGTGCTTGGTGGTACAACAATCAAGTTTGGCCACGGCCGGGCATCGTGGCTACTATTGTCATTTTCGTAACTTTCAACAAGATGGCACATAAGCGAGATAACCTGGCAGGTCTTTCCAAGACCCATCTCGTCGGCAAGAATACAGCCAATGCCATAGGTGTGAAGTAATGACATCCAGTTGAGACCGAATAGCTGGAAAGGTTTCATCTGACAGTTGGTCGACATGAGATCCGGTTGACTTGGCACGGGTGGTCTGACATATTGGTAAGATGTTACGCTCGTTGGCGTTGGGGGGAGGTCATCAGCCAAAGGGGAGTTTCGGCCGCTTCGTTTGTTATGCCCGAAGGTGTCGAGGTCCCAGTTCTCCATCACCCCCTTTACCATTTTGGCCTGCGATTCACACTTGGCCACCACCTTGTCGATTGCAGACACAGCGTCTAGGAAGACTTCGATAGCATCAACGGCGCTGTCTCCAACGTTGACCTTGGAGGACTTGCGAGCACCGGGCTTCTTAGGCAGGCACACTTGTCGGACCTGCGAGATCGTTTGGAATGGGCGTTTAGCCGTGATATTTTCAAGGAGAGCCTCTTTCATGCCAGTCATCGCTGCCAACTCCTTTGATGTACTTGAATTAATACATTTCAATACTCGGTCGTCGCTCTCATCGTCCGAAGAAGGTGACTGCTCAGCCTCGTATGTATCCTCCTTATCATCAACATCGACAAGGTCAATAATGAGAGGGTCATCGCTCGACGGGGGCTCCGGAAGTTCTGGCTGTGCTTTTTGAGGCGAGGGAGTTCCACGCCGTTTCAATCCCTGGATTAGACGCCGCTTGGCGGGCTTTGGCGGGCTCGGGGTCGGTGCCTTCACAGCAAGGGCCTTCTTGGTTGGCTGCAACGACGCTTTATTGACGAGACGGCGACCAGCAGGACCTGCTGCTGGCTTTGCCTTCACGGACTTCTGGGAGCCGTAGTTATCCAGCCAATCGATCGCCCGGGGTACATCCAGCTCATTATCCTCCAACGCTTGTTTAACGACGGCGGAGGGAAATTTCGGCCCGAATACGTCGAAGATCTGACGCAGCTTTTCTCTCATCTTCTTCTCCTTGTCGGCCGCGGGGTTGTAAGCGAACGATGAAATTGGGGCTTTGAACGTTGTAGGTCTAATATCACCACGGGGAGGCAGCAAGTCATCTTCGTCGTCGGATATGAGATCAATTGGCTCTGGAGCAGGACGCTTCTGCGGAACTCGTGGCTGGGGGCGAGGGGGAGGGCGGAAAACCGTCCCCGCGGGCGCGAGTCGTGAGCCCAGCATCGGTCGCTTTTCTGGCTGGAATGGTGATGAGGAGGCGGGAACCTCGACGATGCTTGGGGGCGATGAGACCTCCAGCGTTGGGGTATTCCGACCTAATATCTGGGTAGGCTGTGTAGTATCATCACGGCGAAGAGCAAAGCCGGGCGAGCAAGGTACTGTATCCATCCCCAATTCGTCGGGGTCGAGTAGAATCGGGTGGCGTGCAACTGTGGGAGTTTTGGGGAGGCTGTTGGCGTGCCGGATGGGCAGCGGCGAGGAGCTTCGAGCCATAATAAATGTGTCTGACCGGGGGGTTGGCTGGAAGGCAATCTAAGGGTATATTGCGAAATTCACGGCCCCTTTGGGGTGTTTCTAGGAGCCTTCGAAGCCAGCAAAGAAGGCGGGGGTTAGTTGCAGCATTGATAAATAGCAGCCTGCGTAGAGAGCACGGTGAAAGTGTTGAGCGGGAGGTGCGAGGGTAGTTTGCCCAGCCTGACGCCAGTAGTCACGTTGGTTGGCCGATATCCTCCCATTTTTTCCGTCTCCATGTGCCAAGACGCGTTCCAGCATCGCGAAGTCACGTGCTGGATTTAAGTGGTGTCGCCTTCCAGCCAGATACGCAAGTGGTCACACTGCACGTCATTCAGTCCGGACGATATCCTTCTTTTCACGTCACGCGAAAATTGACACATTGGATCAAGATATTTGCCAATTCTCTGCGACATTTCTGAAACCATTTCCTCTCAAGCCGGTTGGGTCTCGTTGGTGTTCACACAGAGCCAAGCCTTGACCCTCTGCTCCCTTTGTTCACCAGACCACCCAGCAAAGATGGCTACCCGTCGCATCGTCAATGCTGAGAGGACTCTTCTGGAGAAGGATGACCCCATTGAGGAGAAGTCTAACATTGCACCGGCTGTCCCAAAGTTTGTTTCATAATGCTGTCCCTTAGTTGGCCAGGTGGAAGCTGACACATGTAAACCTCCAGTGATGTTATCTTCAAGCTTCTCGCATTCACTTTTGCCATGATTGTTGTCCCAATCGGAGGCTATTTTGTCACTGTGAATACGGTGTTCAAGGGTACTGTTCATTTCACACCTTCCTTTCTATATATCCCTGGTTGCCTTGACCGTGGTCTGGTATCAAGAGAATACTCTAACATGAATACAGGCAATGCTTCTTTTGCTGGAGGTTTTGCTGCTCTGTTGGCCAATGTCGTCCTGGTGGGTTATATTATTGTCGCTATGAAGGAGGATCAATCAGAGACGACAGAGAAGAAGAAGCCAGAGAGCAAAAAGGATAAATAAGAGACGAACATGGATGATCAATTGGGGGCAGGGCAACGTGCCATACGACTTTTATTTACTTATATCACAAGTTCACATTTGTGCTCTAACATATTTTGCTTGCAAGCAAGAATTTGTTCTGTACTTGTAAAATAAACAAGGCTGTGTAGATGAAGGCTCATATGTTCGTGGTTATGTGGCCTGCATTATATATGCCAAGTCTAATCAATTATCAGCACCCGGGTGCACTCGTGTTCCACCTCCCGCTCAGTCTTCATGCTCCTCACAAAGAAGGAAAAAGGAAATAAAAGTCAACATGAATCTTCCCCTGAACGCCTCGTACATTATCCGTAAGTATATGCAGCGATGAGACCATATAACAGAGCCCCGCGGATCTATGTGAGATCCGTATTCGAAGACCATCCATTAGGATCCTGCCTCAAAGTGGTATCATAAACCCCCAGTATTAATGACTTTCAACACTCCATCAAATGAACAAAGTTGGCAGGCATTGCTGCCGTGGAAAATGTGGTTTTCCAATCCGGTTGGGTATCGACAAATGGAAAAGGACAATGAGAGTATGGGCATCTCGTGGCGAGCTTAGGAATTTTTGCTGAATCGTCGCGCGAACCAGCTCTTCCTCTTTTCTTGAGGAGCGGGCTGCTGTTCTACTGCGGGCTGCTTTCTGGGAATGACGCTAATTTCTTTTCGAGGAATAGAGGTGCCATTGTTTCTCGGCGCTTGCTGTTCGGGCTGTTGTTGTGGGACCCCTCTCAACCCAGCGGCTAGACTGGAATCTTGAGATGTCTGAGATTGGCTGAAGCCAATGCCATAGTCGTTCATGGGCTCGGCGCGTTTGGCTGGCAAATTCCTCTCGATAGAACTGTTGTCGCTGCTGGTTGGGTCGGTTTGATAACCAACAGGTTCCGAATTTCCGCTACCCGCAGCGGAGGTCACCGTCTCGTATGAGCGATCCTTGTGCGCCAAATGATAGACATTTTGGTTTGGCCCGTTTTGCCTGTATCCGGGTTCGGTGGCCGTTCTCGGGGGCCGTTGCCTGCTTGGTCCTTGGCTGTAATTTTGCCCTTGACTGTAATTCTGAGGCTGGGCCATGCCGTATCCATTGAAACCGGCGTTGTAGGCGTGATGATCGTAAAAACTGTTTCTCGCGGTATTGCTGTTTCCGGTGTCATGTGAGACGTATTCGGGTCGTTGCGACTGAGGGCGATTCCCGTAGTAGCTATTCGGCCGGAACCGTGGTTGCCCGGCTAACCCGTTGTCAGTATGCCGCATATGATATGGTACTGGAATGTACGTAATAAGACTCACATGGATGGTAGCTATTTCGACGACTCCACGTAGCTCCCGAATCCGTCTCTGTTAATTGCCCGTTTAGTACGTTGTCTCAGCGAAATGGTTCAGAGGACCCTTACCGGCTCGGAACATCATCGACTTCCTCGAGTACCCCCCATCAATTGCGGCTTCGAAGCTGCGAATGGTGTCCAACGGCCGTTCCCAGCGATTGCGCGTCGGGTTGGACTTGTCAGGATCAGCTGCGCGCGGTTAGCAAGCTTGTCCAAAAATTGTCACTCATGACCAGGGAAAACATACCGATAGGATTGCCATTTGCGTCCTTGTGGGTGATAGACCGTAGAGGGGCGAGAGCGGATTGGGTCATCTCAGCGGCGACCTCAGCTGTTGGCTGCGTCAGTACGGTGTCGGATCACAGAGACAGGATGAGAAGGTGGCAAAGGCGTGGTATAAGAGAATTTTGGCAGCCTTTCGCCCCGGATGTGAAAGGAATGCAAAATAAGATGGAAGATAAGAGAGGAGGGGCATCTTACCAGGCTCTGCCTCGCTAATGGCCACACTTGGGTCTGCTTTTGAATGTAGACGCTTTGAGTCCTTCTGAGCCGGAGTCTCGTGATAAGATTCCCTGTGAGAGCTTTTCTGCGAGCTCTTCCGAGACCGATCGGAATGGAAGCTAAAGGTTCGAGGTTTCGACCGAGCAGGCGGTTGCTTCTGGATAGGCGACTGCGGTTGCTGGTGCTGAGAATACTGATATTCCGCCTGGGAGGGAGCTTGGTCGTACTGCTCTGGAGGATGATGAGCTGGGGGCGGGAAGGGATGATGATGATACACGTCTGTTTGAGTCTCCATCGCGGCTAGCTGGGATGCAACAGCGTTTTGATTAAAATTGTATCGCAAGACGCAGGGGTTGCCTGTTCTGCCAAGTGCAAGGACCACAGGAGAGCGGAGCTTTTGGTGCGAGCTTTTGAGAAACAATGGATCGCTCGATGATCTGGAGATTGGGACCCGTGCACTTGGAAGGCTGGGAATCACGTAGCAGCAAAGAGTTGAAGCTGCTGGGCTTATCGAGGTCCAACAATACCGCTAGCAAGGATGATACCAAGGAACGGGTCTGTGGCCGGGTGGGGATATGTTAGGTTGTTTGGAAAGGGCGAGAGAGTAGTAGTATTAATTAACGGGGCGATAGGTAGGTAGTATGGGAGAGTAGGATGAAATCAGACGATGGGCGATTGATTGAGTTGAGCGAGCGAGGGACTGGTAGGAGAAGAAGAAAGAAAGAAAAGAGGAGGAGAGGTGTGAAAAGGTCCACTTTGACAGCTTTTCGAGCAGGAGAATAAATATTGGCCGGCTGCTTGGGTGATGATGAAAGCACACCTGGATGGCTGCGGACGACAATTGCGCGTTGCCGTACCGCTACGCATGCGAGCAGCCAAGCTAGCAGCTGGCCAAGTATCTCAGTACGGGCGGTGCGGGCAGACGACAGCGGCGAGGCAGGTACTGTACCTCTGGCACACGGCGGGCGAGTACTGCGTACCTGCTGCCAGGCGACCAGTGCAGGAATAGATGTACTGTGTGACCCGCTAATGGCGCGTAGTGATGCTGAGAACTCGTCAGAGACCGGGGCTTTCACATGGACCAAGCAGGACAGGCAGGGCTCCGGGCTAGTTATGCTCGTGTCTGGGATGCTTCGATCTTGGCAGCCCAAGTGCATGCATACATGGCATGCCAGTACCTGTCTGCTGTGCGAGAGATGTGCGCAGGTCTGTGGCGCACCCGGCGACCATCAGCCAGGTACTGCACATGTACCTTGGGGGGAAGAGGCGTTTGCGTCGATGCTACAGTGCCAGAGGGCTGCTGTGACGCAACGGGCGGGCGTCAGGTCACGTAGGTACGCAACCGGACAGGGGATCTGATATCAGTCTGCCGTCCCCTGGGCCTGCGACGGGCCAGTGCTGGGCTGCCACGAGTGGGGCCGCGAGTGATCTGGTCGCGGTGTGGGTTCCCTGATGGGTGGAAAGTGGGCAGCTTCAAGGCCCCGCCCCACCCTGCTGTGCGTGGGCCTGAAGCGCCAAACAACTGGATGGAAAAGTGCCACCAGCAAACTCGATATGTCGCAGAATTGCACCAACGTAGCGGCGTTGTGGTGCTTTTGGGCTATTAGAAACCGGGGCAACCGATCCGGCCAATCTTCTCGATCTTCGATCCTCGCTCACCCTCTGCTCTACGTGCATTTATTTTAGGCTCACCTGCAGCCTCTACACAGGCAACGGGGAATTGATCTCGGCCGACCGCATTTACTCGCATGCTTCGGGTGGTGCCTCGGTAGGTCGATCAGTGCCGACCTTATTCTGCACCACGCCACTATCAAGGGCCTTTCCAAGTCACCTATGCTCCGATTGGGAGCTCCGTCTGCTTGAACGAGGATTGTCTATAGGCGGTGCGGAGCATATTTACTGCTAGCTCCGACTCGGTGAGTGAGTGGCCAGCGCAGAATACAGGCAAGGTACCTCAGCCCGAAGCATGCGATCGGGAAGCTGACGCTTGGCGCAGAACGCCACGTCGAGTCAAGTTGCGAACGTCAATCGGCGGCTTTTCAGGCCTAACTACATCAGGTCATCTGCATCCACGCGCTTGCACGTTGTCCTTTTTTTTTTTTTCTGTTCTAAATCGCCCGTGCTGGTGAAACACTCAAAAGACCCTCATCGGCGCGGATGTCCACGGCTTTTTCTCACGCCTGTTTTGTGATATGCTTACTCGGAAGCTTGGATTGGATTCAATTGGCAGCTGTGCGGCCTCCTGCAACCAGCGGCGCCAGTCGGGTGTTTAGCTGCTCAAGCGTACGAATTGACTTTTTGCTACGGTCACAGGCCGCTGTGTTGTGACCATTTGATGCCGATTGCTGGTGGCGTCGACAGCTCTCCACCGGGCGCACGTCCCAAGCTTCTCAAATATCAAAACGATACAATAGGTAATGGTAACAACATATCATCTTAATTATTGTGATCGACTTCTCAATATATCTGGCGAACGCGGAATCTTTTCAGAGCGCAATTCTATTCTGTGATAAACATGGATCGAAACTTGTCCGCATGCTGACGAAGATCAACGCTTTTTAATGGTCTCTCCCGCACTTTAACTGGTCTCTGGTTTTATGCGTTCCTTTTCTATTCACAAAACTAGCCTGTAGTAACAAGAGAAGAGTGACGAACAACAGCCTGGCTACGCGAACAAGGCGAGAGGCCTTGGGTTCGTGGCCAATGTCTTGATTGACTCAAAATCTACCGATCGGGTGCCGAATTCTGTGGTGGTTCGATTCTAACCCCATTCGAACTACCGGAATACGCTCTACGATATGGGATCGTCCTTATCAACAGACATCTTGGCGGGAACTACTAATAATACCTGACTTGGGGCAAGGATTCTGATACCTATCTGCTGCAGGAATTGGCGTTTGAGGTCAGATGCCCTGCCATCCTTTTAATTACCTCCAGGTTAATTCGTACAGATAAGGCATCGAGTTGATGTTACCTTACCTGCACCTGCGACGGAAGAGGAGGCTGTGCTATCACTCCACATTACCGTCATTTGAGTGTAACAGGGCTGGTGGAAGCCCGAAGGCGAATTATCCATTTGTCAGGTATGCATGGATAATTTTATGTCGGCCCTACTGGGATTGACCAGGAGCTGGGGGCGACCACTCCAGACACTGT